TCTTTACAACAACTATATAGTTAAATGATTAAGATTTGAAAAACTTTAACAATCCTTGTAAAGTATTTAAAAAAACATTCGAGTTATTTAACTAGGTATAACATTAACGGTTATTTTTCAATTTACTTAAATAATTTGTTAACTCCAACAAGGAGTCGAAAAACAAACAATATATAAAGTAATACAATTACGATTGGATGGCGTGTAGATAAATTTAATCAATGCGCATACTAAGTACTTTTATAACTGTTGTTTCCGGCATTTAAGAATTGAAAACGCGGGTTTTTCGGGTAAAACACTTTTGCGTCATTGTTCGAATGTTATTTTTCTTTATAAACCGGTGTAGAGTCACTTGCTCGTCGCTCATACTCAAAGTACGTCAACACACGACCGCTATTAATAGAATTTTCCTTTTGCCGATGTACATTTTGTGATATCATCGTTGAGGTTGAATCATAAATACTGTGACGTACTTTTATATGTTGGAATACACGCCAACAATTACTTTATTATATATACACATGTATATATTATTTATACGTAGCGTTACGCCAAGCCTTAGGGTCAACTGATTCCTGTGCAATAATTTTTTGAAAAATTCGCCAAAAATCGAATTTTTTTGATGTCGATGTAACACTTTTAAGCTTTGTTAAGAAAAGTGTGTTCTTTTTAATGGTGAAAATAGTTTTTAAAAATATCTAATAGTTTTTGAGATAACAATTTTTTAGATTAACGAAAATTGTTGAAGTATTATAAACTTGGGATTTCCCTAAAAAATTCGCTACAAATCGAATCTATGAGATATCACTATAAAATGATCATAATTTAATAAGAAAAGTACGCACTTTCTAGTGGTGAAACCCATTTTAAAAAATATATAATAGTTTTTGAGATAATAATGTTTTAGGTCGATAAACATTTTTGGGGTATTTTAAGAATAAAATTATTTTCGATAATTTTTTAAAATCTCGTCATAACCCGAGTTTCTCAGATATCGTTATGAAATTATCAACATTTAGTAAGAAAAGTGTGTTCTTTTTAATGGTAAGAACCGTTTTTAAAAAATATCTAATAGTTTTTGAGATAACAATTTTTTGGATTAACGTAAATTATTGGAGTATTACAAATTTGGGATTTCCCTAAAAAATTCGCTATAAATCGAGTGTATGAGATATCGCTATAAAATGATCATAATTTAATAAGAAAAGTATGTACTTTCTAGTGGTGAAACCCATTTTTAAAAATATATAACAGTTTTTGAGATAATAATGTTTTAGGCCACCAAACCTTTTTGGGGTATTTTAATAATAAAATTATTTGCAATATTTTTTTAAAAATTTGCCATATCCCGAGTTTTTCAGATATCATTATGAAATTTTCAACATTTATTAAGAAAAGTTTGTTCTTTTTAATGGTGAAAACCGTTTTTAAAAATATCTAATAATTCCTGAGATAATAATTTTTTAGATTAACGAAAATTGTTAGATTATTATAAACTTGGGATTTCCCTAAAAAATTCGCTACAAATCGAGTCTATGAGATATCACTATAAAATGATCATAATTTAATAAGAAAAGTATGTACTTTCTACTGGTGAAACCCATTTTTAAAAATATATAACAGTTTTTGAGATAATAATGTTTTAGGTCGACAAACCTTTTTGGGGTATTTTAAAAATAAAATTATTTGCAATATTTTTTTAAAAATTCACCATAAACCGAGTTTTTCAGATATCGTTATAAAATTTTCAACATTTATTGAGAAAAGTGTGTACTTTTTAATGGTGAAAACCGTTTTTAAAAATATCTAATAATTCCTGAGATAATAATTTTTTAGATTAACGAAAATTGTTAGATTATTATAAACTTGGGATTTCCCTAAAAAATTCGCTACAAATCGAGTCTATGAGATATCACTATAAAATGATCATAATTTAATAAGAAAAGTATGTACTTTCTAGTGGTGAAACCCATTTTAAAAAATATATAATAGTTTTTGAGATAATAATGTTTTAGGTCGATATACATTTTTGGGGTATTTTAAGAATAAAATTATTTTCGATAATTTTTTAAAATCTCGTCATAACCCGAGTTTCTCAGATATCGTTATGAAATTATCAACATTTAGTAAGAAAAGTGTGTTCTTTGTAATGGTAAGAACCTTTTTTAAAAATATCTAATAGTTTTTGAGATAACAATTTTTTGGATTAACGTAAATTATTGGAGTATTACAAATTTGAGATTTCCGTAAAAATTCGCTATAAATCGAGTGTATGAGGTATCGCTATAAAATGATCATAATTTAATAAGAAAAGTATGTACTTTCTAGTGGTGAAATCCATTTTTAAAAATATATAACAGTTTTTGAGATAATAATGTTTTAGGTCGATAAACATTTTTGGGGTATTTTAAGAATAAAATTATTTTCGATAATTTTTTAAAATCTCGTCATAACCCGACTTTCTCAGATATCGTTATGAAATTATCAACATTTAGTAAGAAAAGTGTGTACTTTCTAGTGGTGAAACCCGTGTATGAGATATCACTATAAAATGATCATAATTTAATAAGAAAAGTATGTACTTTCTAGTGGTGAAACCCATTTTAAAAAATATATAATAGTTTTTGAGATAATAATGTTTTAGGTCGATATACATTTTTGGGGTATTTTAAGAATAAAATTATTTTCTATTTTTTTATTTTCTAAATTATTTTTTATATTTTTTTAAAAATTCGCCATAACCCGAGTTTTTCAGATATCGTTATGAAATTTTCAACATTTATTAAGAAAAGTTTGTTCTTTTTAATGGTGAAAACCGTTTTTGAAAATACAGAACAGTTTTTGAGATAATATTTTTTTAAGTTAACCTTAAAAATACCTACCAATTAAATCTTCTTTTTACAGAAAGAATTTTCTGGAGAAGTGCAGGAAAAGAAAGAAAAATCAAATAAACTTTTTCAGGTACTTTATTGCATTACCCGAAAAATTGATAATGCTCAAAACGTACAGTATTTCATTTTTTNTAAAAATTCACCATAAACCGAGTTTTTCAGATATCGTTATAAAATGTTCAACATTTATTGAGAAAAGTGTGTACTTTTTAATGGTGAAAACCGTTTTTAAAAATATCTAATAATTTTTGAGATAACAATTTTTTAGATTAACGAAAATTGTTGGAGTATTATAAACTTGGGATTTCCCTAAAAAATTCGCTACAAATCGATTCTATGAGATATCACTATAAAATGATCATAATTTAATAAGAAAAGTATGTACTTTCTAGTGGTGAAACCCATTTTAAAAAATATATAATAGTTTTTGAGATAATAATGTTTTAGGTCGATATACATTTTTGGGGTATTTTAAGAATAAAATTATTTTCTATTTTTTTATTTTCTAAATTATTTTTTATATTTTTTTAAAAATTCGCCATAACCCGAGTTTTTCAGATATCGTTATGAAATTTTCAACATTTATTAAGAAAAGTTTGTTCTTTTTAATGGTGAAAACCGTTTTTGAAAATACAGAACAGTTTTTGAGATAATATTTTTTTAAGTTAACCTTAAAAATACCTACCAATTAAATCTTCTTTTTACAGAAAGAATTTTCTGGAGAAGTGCAGGAAAAGAAAGAAAAATCAAATAAACTTTTTCAGGTACTTTATTGCATTACCCGAAAAATTGATAATGCTCAAAACGTACAGTATTTCATTTTTTTTTAATTATTTTTTCGTCTGCGTTTATAATACAATATTTTTAATTAATAATATTTATAATGTTGGTATAATTCGCGGTAACCATCTCATCAATTTGGTATGATGTATTTTTCATCTTGAATTCGTTTTTTTTATTTCCTTTTTTAACAAAATAAAAATTAGCTACGTAATAAATATTTATCCTAAATTATAATAATTGTAGAAAAAAAAACATATTGTAATTCTTTCCTATACGTCTTAGTATCGTCCTGCAAGGATTCATCGTTTATAATAAAAATAAAAGAAACAATTAGGAAAAAAACCGGCTCGAAAAAATCATTACAGGAATTTTTATTTAAAATAATAACATAGTTGCGATGTTTATATATACAATTTACTAATACACAATGTATTTTCTCTTTTATATAAGCACTTGGGAATTTTTACACGCCTTAATTTTTTGAGGATTTAATTAATTTTATAAGAAAAAAACAATTATAAATATAATAATAACAAGACTTTTTTTTTAATAAAAATGAAAATTAATTAATAATTAATTTTAAGTAATAAAACGAAATGTATATATAAAAAAATTTAAAATTACAAAACAATTTTATTTAATAATATTTTCTAAATTTTTGCTGGTTTTCGAGTCCAAAACATGTTTTGATATGCCTTGGGGACTAAAATGGTCTTAAAATACAAGGTTTTGGTTGTTGTTTTATTTTTCTTTCAACTATTAAAGCGACAAAGACACAAAGTTACTTCACTTCAAATTTATTGTAAAAAATCTAATACAAGCGATAATTTTTTTTTCAATTTTTCAATTTATTGCGAACTACCGTTTTGAATAATTATTAAAAGTAATTGTATATATAGTTTTTCATCTTCTTTTCATACAAATGAATCTACAACCGTAATATATTTATTTTAATTGTTTTTTTTTGTAATATATGCATTAATATAATTAATAGACTTTACTGTAATATCACAGACTTGCCTCTTTAAAATATATTTACAAGTTTTTTTTAATCCAGGCGGGGCGGTTTTAAGGTGATTCACCGCAATTATTAATTTTTTAAATTTTTAATATGAACTATAAATCGACATGACATGTCTTAAAAATGTTTTTCGTCGATTTTTCACAACTTTACAATTAACAGAGATAAAAAAATCTCTGTGTAACACCTAAGTTTCAATTTTTAGTCTTAAATTTCATGGTGTGACAATTTTTTCCTTTCAAATTGACTCAAATACAAAAAAATTTTGATATCTCTTGAATTGATAATTAATTTAATTTTTTTTGTGAAATTTTGATTTTTAATTATTATTTTTTTATTATCACAAACAGAATATACAAAAAAAACTTGCATCGAATTCGAAATTGTTTCATCTTTTTAATGCTACGTTTCCAGGGATGTAATTAGGCTGTGAAAGACGTTGTTTTGGATGTCGTTGAACATGGACGCGTGGCCGCAACTGTAGGAATTCGTGTCGTCGACCGTCGTTGATGATGGCACATATCGTAACCTATCGGTATCCGGAGGCAGGTTATTGTTCGTGTACGTCATCATTCTGTAATCGTCCTTATCGAATTTCTGTAGAAACTCGTCCAGTCGTGGAATCACTTCACTATTACTGTTACAAGAAGTTGTTTCACTGATAATTTCAATTTTGGCTCGTTTCGTCGAGGGCTCTTCAACGTCAACGACGTTAACGTCTTCATCTTCGTCGATACAGGTTAACATTCTAGGCGTAGGGGGCATGTAAAATTGCGAAAGAACATCTTGCACATCACAATCTTCGTAATCATCGAATGAACGTTTTCTTGAAAACCTATTATTTGGGTTTGTCGTGGTGTTGTTGGTGGTACTATTTTCTTGGGTTTCTTGCACTACACAAACGTTATTGTTACTGTTTGAGTCACTTCCGTTTACACAAAACTCGTTCTCCATTAAATTTTTGATCACTTCAACTCCCTCGTTCATCACTTCACCGATTTTTCGATCGAATTCCGGTTCCATTGCGAAATCCGCACTTAAACTGTCCACAATTTTTGCATCGTTCGGCGTGAAATCGCCGGGTTGGTCGAACGTTTTCAACTCGTTTTTCATAAACTCACTTTTTAGGTTTAAGAAATTATCGTTTTCGTAACACCGCGGGTAATTTAGCTGTTGCTTTTGGATTTTTTCGTCGCGCGCCTCCTTCTGTAGCCGCTTCATCGTGTTATTGATCAAAACCGATCTGCACAAACTCGCTTCGGGATCTTCAATTTTCTTCAACTTATTTATGCTGATCTTCAACACTTTTCTACGTTCTTCTTTTTGGCGATATTTCGCGCTGATCATCGACGGCCGATTCTTTGGCGGACAATAACCCGTTTCGTAGGTACGGGGTGGACCAAAAATATCATCGCAGTCGTCTGTGACTGATGGTGGTGATTTCATGATGATTTATTCAATCTACAAAAAAAAAATTAAATAAATAAATGCACAGCTGGCGTTTGTAACATTATCGTTATCTCGGTTCATTGAGTCAAATAAGAAAAATTAATCAAATAAATTCCTTTTCATCAAAATCATAATCTACGCAAAAAATCAATAAATTTGAGCCCAAACACGACGTATTTATCTCAATAAACACCGAAAATACGAAATTTTTAAAAGCGCCGATCGTCGATTGTTTTTTTAAGGTTAATTTTTTATTAAGGTCTAACTCATTTGTTTTTTAAGATAAATAGGTCGTGTTTGGAGTCGTTTTAAACGATTTTTAATTTCCTATTCGAATATTTAATTATTAATTTAATATTAGAATTGGGATTTTTATTATTAATTAAAATAAATGAGTCGTTTGATTAAAACGCGCGTAATTCACACTCACCGGTGGAGAAATACGAAAGAGAGAATACAAGAAAAAAAGGAACGCGAGCAAAGTACCGGAGGACAAAGCGCTAGACTTTCAAAACGGAGCCGCACGTAGCGACTCGATCAAAATAACCGTGTAAGCACAACCTTGTACCGGATTCGACTGGCTCTGATAAAAATTAGTGACGCTGCGCTAACTAACGTGTCACAACGAAATTGCAATCCGATAACTCTCACTAAATTGATGGGTAACAATAAAATTTTAATTTTAACTTAAGGAATTTCCCTATTAACAAATAGGGAAATCACGCGACTCGTATTTTTCATATTGGATTTTCCGTTTAAAACGTAACTTAATTTAATTAAGATTAAATTTAACACTTACTTAACGCTACAACATCACTTAATAATCCAAAAATTAGACACAAATAAAAAAAGAATTGTTTCAAAATTTATTTTTTCACTTCAACAAACAAAACTTTGTTTAGCAAATTTTATTAAAATTTATTTATAACTCCTTTAATTTTTTTTTAAGGTTCGATTATAATAAGAAGTTTCTTTTGTCGTTGAGTGTACTACTAATACTACTACAACACTTATACACAGTAGTGGCGACGCTCTGCGGTTTAATGATTAAACGCGGGCGCGTCTCAGCTCGTCGAGCGTTCGGCTAACACTGAATTGTTTGGCCTGAACTTGTGTGTGTCTTACTGCGCCCGACCGCCGTGACGTCACGTTTGTAACGCGCCGCGCGCGTCACGGTGCCCTCTCGCGGACGCTCTCGACGCGCCGCGTCGCTCCGCTCCGCATCGCAACCATCGACGTCGCGACGCCCGCCGAGTCATTTACCACGACGTTGCGTAACTAAAAACTGAGAACTCGCTAATCGGTTGAGTTATCAAACTTAATATATATACATAAATTAATATACATAAATATATAGCTTTTTACGATTATTTATGACATTACAGAAGATATTAATAAGACAATGGACTGTTAATACAACCTCGGCTTAATACAACGAAGATAAGATGAGATCGTTTGAGGCCGAGGTTCATCATTGTGTTGACTAGGTTTGGATTGATATAATGTTAGTTGCAGAGCCTCGGCCGCAATCGACCTTGACTTAGATTATGATAAAAAACTAAGCCGAGGTCGAATATACAGGATGTTTCATAATATATGCGGAGGACTTCAGGATTTTGGACGAGCTATCACTTATCCGAAAATTTGAAAAAAAGTTTCTACCAACTTACCCTCTTCAATGCACCATTTTCGACATACAGGGTGTTGAAATTTAATTAAAAAAATCTTTTTTTGCGAATATCTCCGGGACCATTTATCGTACAGAAAACAGCATTTGTAAGCATTTTCTACCAATAATAAGCTAAGTTTTGTCAAAAAAGGTACTGAATGACATGAGCTCTAAAGTTGACCGTTTTCGAGAAAAATCAACTTTTATGTTGAATAACTTGGCCAATTTTTGGATATAAAAATTTTACTTTATTAAAACGTTAGAACAAGTAACAAAAGCAAACGTTAACTTCATAATTGCATAATTACAAATCATACACAATGTTGGAAATCGTTAGCTTCAATGCACGCAGCAATTCTTCTAACACGCAGGAAAATTCCCGGAGTGTTCCGAATTATGTCGCAAGATACAACAATGCGCTCTCTTAATTGGTCAACATTTTCAACTGGAGTAGCGTAGACTAGGGTTTTCAGATGGCTCCAAAAGAAAAAATCTAAACAATTCAGTTCGCGGTGGCCAAGGGTGCGGACCTCCTCGACCGATCCAACGGTTTGGGTATTCGTCGTCCAAGTATTGGCGAGCAACCAAACTAAAGTGGACCGGAGCTCCATCATGCATAAAGTACATGTTTTGTCTTACTTGAAGCGGTACATCTTCCAGCAGTTTCGGCAGTACTTCTTCTGGAAATTGTCGATAATCTGCACAGTTTAATATGTTCAGTAAAAAATCCCAAACATTTACAGAAAATTGTTGCTGATGATGGCCTTCTGCATTTTTTTGTGGATTTTCTTCTGCCCATATGTGGTTATTGTGAAAATTGAAAATAACATCCTTTGAGAAAGATGCTTCATCGGTAAACAGAACTTCGACTCCAAACTGAGAATTTTGAGCTATTTTGTGTTGCATCCATGTACAAAAAGCCAATCTTGGCAGAAAATCTCTTGGCAATAAGGCTTGTACTCTTTGGATATGGTAGGGATACAAAAGTTGCCTTTTCAAAATTCTCCAAACCGTCGAGTGAGATAGGTTTAAGTTGAAAGCAATTTTTCTGGTACTTGTGGTAGGATTTCATTGAGGACAGCCTCTTCTACTTGGGGATTTGCAACTTCCATTATCAGTATTTTCCCATAATCCTTGGTAAATGCGTAAAAACAAGTTATGGTGTTGTACTAGGCGATCAAGATGTCTTTCTTGATACAACCGCCTTGCTTCTGCCGAATTACCGCACGCCATTGTCTAAAGGTAATGCATTTCGCACATTTCAGCGTTCTCTGGAGAGATGAATCATGTTTTACACGAGATGGTATAAATAATTACCATAATGAACATAATGAACGCTTATAGCACTGAAAAGTATGCTGATATAATTTTCGTGTATGGTTTTTGCAATGGAAATGCTCGACAATCAATACGAGAATATCAAGAAAGATTTCCACAGCGTCATATTGTTCAGTTTTTAGCGATTCTTTCAGAAGACTTCGAAAAACAGGTAATCCTGCTCCAGCAAAAGCTATTCAACCGCATGTAGTTAATATAGAGGATAAAGAAGCTGTAATTAATGCTGTCATTGATAATCCTACCATCAGCACTCGAAGAATAGCACACAACATACATGTAAGTCAAAATTTTGCATGGCGCGTATTGAACTGCGAAGTGATTCATCCGTATCGTAAACAGAATGTTCTACAGCCACGGGATAATCAGCAACGGTTAGCATTTTGTGAATAGTTATTGCAGCAACATGCCCAAAATAATGACTTCATTTCAAATATTCTCTGCACAGATGAATTATATTTTACACGAGCTGGTATAAATAATTACCATAATGGACATATTTGGGCATTACAAAATCCGAATGCGATTAGACCAAGAAAATTTCAACAACGTTTCAGCATCAACATTTGGGGTGGAATATTTAACAACAATTTACTAGGTTTGCATGTACTTGATGAACGTTTGAACGCCGTAAATTACAGATTTTTTGAACAATATGTTTTTTAATTTACTTGAAGATATACCTCTTAGGGCCGGTTGTATACCGATAAACTTCCCGACAGCGTTATCTGGCAGATAAGTTAGTTTGTACTGTATTACAATGTACGAATAATTTTGTCGGAGAGATCAGCACTCAGCGGTGCCGATAACACACTTATCCGCCAGATATTTATGGTTACCAAGGTTTTTATATAAAAGCTTTGTATGGTTACTGCATAGGTTAGCTTATAACATTAAATATTAACCCTATATGTATGATGTGTCAGTTGTCTGTCGTGAAATTTTTTTTAAGCATTTATTATTGCCAAAATCATAATTCAAACTTCAAAGAAAGACGTTAGCGTTACCAATCTGCGGTATAAATCATTAGAAATGGGGAAAAACTACTACCAACCGACTCTTATTTCGCCGATAGCAATCCTACCGACAAAAACAGTTTGTACAACAGCGAATATCTTTAACTTCCCGATAAGTTTATCGGCCGGATAGTTATCAGGTAGATTTATCGGCATATTGTACAGGTGTCCAAATTTCGATGGGTTTGCAGGGTATCTCAGTTATTATGAAAGGTAGAAAGTTGCGGCTTTCGCGAACCTGAGCTACTTTTTTGTGAAACTTACAATGGCGCAAACCAAATTTTCATAGCCCTCTTCGTTTTTGATATACAGGGAGTGTTTCAAAATTTACGATTTTCAGACACCCCTGTATGTCGGCTATCCGGAAACGTAAAAATGGGTTCTAATAGATTTTTTTCACGTAGAATCCAACGGTGCACGTAGAATTTTTCTAGTCATCAAGGTTTTTGAGTTATAAAGAGTTAAGTATTTTAGAAGTTGAGTATTCAGTATTTGAGTTGTGTTTACAACTCAAAAACCGTGATGACTAGAAAAATTCTACGTGCACCATTGGATTCCACGTGAAAAAATCTATTAGAACCCGTTTTTACTTTTTTACTAAGTTTCCGGATAGCCGAGATACAGGAGGTGTCTGAAAATCGTAAATTTAAAACACTCCCTGTATATCAAAAACGAAGAGGACTATGAAAATTTGGTTTGCGCCATTGTAAGTTTCACAAAAAAGTAGCTCAGGTTCGCGAAAGCCGCAACTTTCTATCTTTCATAATAACTGAGATACCCTGCAAACCCATCGAAATTTGGACACCCTGTACAACCGACCCTTTATGTAATTCAAAATATGAGGTAAGATATAAGAGTAGTTGTCGAGTGGTTAAACCAATATTTTCCAAACAAGTGGATTGGTAATAATGGTCCATTTGCTTGGCCACCTAGATCCCCCGACCTTAATCCATTGGATTTCTACTTATGGGTTCAAATGAAACAAATTGTGTATCAAACACACGAGAACAGTTATACAGAATACAAATGGCTGCTACTGAAATAAGAAATCAACCAGACATTTTAAATCGGCTGAAGAACTCTTTAATTCGTCGTTGTGAAGCATGTATTCTAGCAGAAGGAGGCTATTTTGAATAATTTTTGTAACATTATGTGTTTTAAAAAAAATGTTGCTGTTAATTATGATATAAAAATTAAAACTTTAAAGTGTTATAATGTTTATTAATATTTTTTTTGGTAATTGGATTAGGTATCATATGTCAAAGTTTGATGGTGAGCTAATAAATCACCCTGTATATATATATACAGGGTGCCCATTATGTATGGAATATAGTATATATCTTGGTTGGTATCAACTTTATAAAAAAACATTTTATACAAAACTTGTTTAATATTTTATTAGCCATAATAAGATTGCATTCAATTGTTTTTACTTCAGAAAACAAATGAGTAACGAATAATACTTAATAATACTGCTACTAAAAAAAATACTACTAAAAAAGTATACTTAATAATACTTTTTTTAAACGGCAATGTATTCTTTCTTTAGGCTCATTTGATAGAGATTACTTTTCTCTTTACGATGGCGTAAAATTTTTGTATCCTTACATCAGAAAATTTTTGAGAAAAATGGAAAAATTAATAATAACATTAATCTAGATATCCAAGATCGTCAAAATACTACTGGGCGATCTCGGATATCTAGATTAATGTTATTAGTTAAATTTTCTTAATAAACAATTATTTTCTGATATAAGGGTACTAAAATTTTACGTTATCGTAAAGAGAAAAAAAATCTCTATCAAATGAGCCTAACAAAAGGGTTCATTGCCATTTAAAAAACTTCAAGTGTTATTCGTTGCTCATTTGTTTTCTGAATTAAAAACAATTGAATGCAGTCTTATTATGGCAAATAAAATATTAAACAACTTTTGTATAACATGTTTTTTTTATAAAGTTGATACCTACCAAGATATGTACTATATTCCATACATAATGGGCACCCTGTATATATATATATATATATATATATATATATATTTTTTCTGTTGTAATTAAGATGGTACAGTAATTCGGCAAGTCTCATTGGTCCAAATTTTTGTTACCGTTATTGATACGTTAATTTACTGAATTAATTAGTTAA